TGATTTCAATATGGTAATTTTAATTCAAATGCTTATGACATGCAGGTACTTAGCAGAAAAACTGTCATTTATAAACATAAGGCTGTCATCAAACATATAAACATAAAACAGTGCAAGTGGATTAAACTTTTCCTAATTCACTCTAAAGCTGAAAGGAAGGATAAGACAATAAAACCATGGGAGCTGCCATGCTGTTTGTTTTCTAAGCTGTCAACCAAACTGAACTGATGATGATAGGAGGAAGATAAAAAACAATAGAAAGAGCAAGTGCCGGGCAAGTCCCTGGCGAGTCAGCAACGCCCATCATAACTGCAAGCTATTTTTACAGGTTTTGCTTGCGTGACAGTTTCCCTTTAAAAGCCTTCAAAATCATCCTGTTCATCATCTGATATCATAAAAATATCAATGACATCTTGTGGTACATTTGTAAGGCAGTCATCATATGGATCGAATTCCGTATCAGATGGTGTGGTCTCAGCTTCAGCTTCCTCTTCATCTTGCCACAAGTAGTCATCCTCCATACCATCTAATGAATTTGATATGCCACACTTCTTGAAAGACTTGATTACTGTTTCTGCATCAATATCTTTCCAGGCTTTTATGACAAACTTGCACAAAACATCCAACTGTGGAGCACGCATGTTTCCTCCTTTTCTGAATGACTTTTCGCCGCTAACCATCCATTCATTCCACTGTTCTCGAATGCGATCTTTAAATGGCTTGTTTAGGCACACATCCAGTGGCTGTACCAACGATGTCAATCCTGCAGGAATAACTGCCGCATCTGTGTTTATTCTTGCAAGCCTTTGCTTGGTGCTGGGAGTTAAATGAGCCCTGAACATATCCCACACCAGTAGACTACGTTTTTGAAGAAGTCCACCTGGTCGCCTGCTCCATACATTATCAAGCCATAGCTTTACCCCTTCTTCATCCATCCAGCCTTTTTCATTCACATGTACAAAACAACCAACAGGGAACTTGAGTTTCGGCATTGTTTTTCTTTTAAAAATAATCATTGGTCTCAGTTTGGCACCATCAGCTGTGCATCCTAGTACCACTGTAAAACTGGACTTCTCATGTCCTGTTGTTTTAATTAAAATTGTTTTTTCACCTTTTTGATGGACAGTTTTATTTCCAACCATATCAAAATTCATTGGAGTTTCATCCATATTTCCAATACTACTTAATGCATAGCCATGTTTAATGCGCTGTTGTATTACGTATCGATGGAAACTAATTACTTTGCTATCAAGATCTGCAGGTAATTTGTGTGCCATTTTTGTCTTTTGCCTCAGTACCATATTATGCCTTTTCAAGAATCTAGTACACCAAGATACAGTGGCCTTAAATCTGTTGCTGTGATCTGGGTTAGATTTGGCCCACTGAAGTGCAGACACACATATTTTATTTCGTGTCACTACATAACCATTTTGGCGATGCTCATTCACCATGTCTGCTACATGTTTTTCAAGTTCTGGCCAATGTGGGGTGCCTCTTCTTAATGCACACTTACCCCTTGCCATACTCTTTAACGCTTTTTCATTTGCTTTCCAGTCCTGAACCATCTTTTCTGTTACTCCATATTGTCTTGCAGCAGCGCAGTTATTATGTTCCATGGCAAAGTTTACAACTTTAAGTTTGAAACTGGCTTCATATTTCCTTCTTCTTGCTGGTGGAGCCACGATGGCATCTTGACTGTTGGACATTTGTATACAGTACTGTATGTACTGGTGCTCTACTGTATGAACTGGTACAGATACTGGTGCTGTACTGTACCGGTACGTACCCAGTATACAACAACCAGCCAATCATGGCAAGCGATATACCTTATCACTGGCAAGCGATGTACCTTACCGGTGATTGGCTTGTTGTTGTATACAAAGCCTGGTTGGATTGGGTGGGTCAGCTCTCCCTGCCTGCCCAGCCCTCCCTGTCCTCTTATATGCCCTAGGGAAAAAATGGACATGCTAATACACCCTTTCGCTGAAGAAGGGGAGAGGGAGGGAGGAAAGGGAGCGAAGTTTTCTGAGTTCTCATTGGCCACCTGTAAGCCCAAATGAGTACAGTATTCTCTCCTCCGCAGGCGCCCTTTTATGCCAGTGCTGAGCATGTGTGTGCGTGCGTGTGGCATGCATGCGACTCCCCCGGGCTGCGCACCGGGATCTCCGGAGACTGGATCTCCTCCTCTTGGTCTTCCATCCCACATGCGCGCGCGTGCACACACACACATGCCTCCTTTCCCTCTTCCCTCTCCTTCCAATCCTTCCCAGCTCAGAAAGCAGCGAGGAGAAGTGTGCGCGCACACACACACACACACACCCTCCTTTCCCTCTTCCCTCTCCCTCCAATCCTTCCCCCCCACCCTGATTTCCAGCTCAGAAAGTGCAAAGCAGCGAGGAGAAGTGTGTGTGTGTGTGCGCGCGCGCACACACACACACGCACGCACGCACGCCTCCTTTCTCCCTCCAATCCTTCCTTCCCACCCCGATTTCCAGCTCGGAAAATGCAAAGCGTGTGTGTGTGTGCGCGTGGCCTCCTTTCCCTCTTCCCTCTCCCTCCAATCCTTCCCAGCTCAGAAAGCAGCGAGGAGAAGCGTGCGCACACACACACACACACACACACGCCTCCTTTCCCTCTTCCCTCTCCCTCCAATCCTTCCCCCCCACCCTGATTTCCAGCTTGGAAAGTGCGAAGCAGCGAGGAGACAGATTGAGACCCACAGGCATTTACCAGCCTGTGACTTCAAGTTAGCAAAAAGCAGCTGCAAACCACACGCCTGCTAGAGGTGAGCCCCTGCTAGAGGTGAGCCGCGGGGACGGATTGCTGAAACAAACAGCTTAGAGTTTAATTGCTCTCCCTACTGCCACTCTACCAATCAAGGACTCTTTTTGAGTGAGGGTGGGGGAGAGAAAACTTGATGAGTAATATACCAAACCACATGTGTAAAGGAATAAAATAGAATACCCGTATTTTCCGGCGTATAAGACGACTCGGCGTATAAGACGACCCCCAACTTTTAAGAAGGTTTTTGTGTCTTAGAAAGTCATCTTATACGCCGGACAATACGGTACCTTGAAACCAGAGACCTTCCCATACTGAGTTAAAATTTCAACCAGATCCCTAACCGAATCTGTCGGTTGAGATAATGTCACAACCAAATCATCAGCAAAAGCTCTCAACTTATAATCATTCTAATTTATTTTTATTCCCTTTATTCTAGGTGATTCTCGAATTTTAATAAGTAAAATCTCCATTGTTAAAACAAATAACAATGGGGGTAAAGGACATCCCTGTCTAGTACCCTTTTCAATGTTAAATGCTTCTGTTAATCCCCCATTAATTATAATTTGTGCAGATTGTTGTTGATATATAGCCTTAAGAGCATACAAAAATTTATCCCCGAAATTCATTTTCTCTACTACTCTCAATAAATGAACATTATTTTAAAAGAGAGAAAATAAGTCAAATTAAAATACAAAGTAACATTGTTAGTTAACAAATTACAAATCCATGTCATGTGCCCCTCAGGAGTCATAGGAATAGATCCAGCCCTTTTTGAAGAAAAGTTTTAGTCAGTGCAGTAAGCATTTTCCAAAGTTTAACTACATGTTGTATAAAAAAAATTCTGTTCTGATTCTTTCAGTATTCAATTTCACGGAGTGACCTCTGGTTTAGTATTTTGGGGAAGGAGAACAGCTTTACCTTCTCTCATGTATAATTTCGTACACCTCAATCCTATCCATTCTCATTCACTATTTTAGCCAAAAAAAGCTCCATGGGTTGTAATCCTTCCCCGTAGGGAAGCTTTTCCAACTCCTTGATCATTTTAGTTGCCTTTTTCTGAACCTTCTCCAGCTACATAATATCATTTATATAAGTGTAGCAACCAGAACTGCACACAATATTCCAGGTATGGTTGCAGCATTGATTTATATAACAACATTATGAATCGGCATTAGTTTATTCATGTTACTCTGAATTACTTTTTAAACTCCTTTATTAGAGAATGAAAGCAGAAGTATATGCAGTTTACCTATTTTTGTAAATAATGTGTATTTGTTGTTATTTTGCTTAGAGCTTCATCTAAGCATTGGAACCTAGGCTTATTTGTAGATTTCACTTTCTGGATTTTGTTTTGTGTTCTCTCATTGCTAATAATTATTTAGTTTAGTTGTTTATGTTAGAATATGCTTTGTAATCTATGATAGGCTTACCACCCAAGACTTAAGTACATTTGAATAGATAAATCAGTAAATCAGATTCCCCAATGAAGAAATTTTAAATAGAATCATCATCTTTCATATTAGTTGCTGAAAAAAAGATTGATTATTTATAAAATCCTCCATAAGATAGCATGAAATATGTTTTATTTATTAATGATATCCTAAATATAGTTGTATGCAACTAAAGGATATTTATCAGTAAATTTAACATTTGAATCAATGTATTTAATGTGAACTTTAATTTGGAAAGAATTTTAAATAAGTTTTGTATTTCATTGCTATACTAATTATTTTAATTGGCAATTGCAATTTAATTGGGACTGGTTTGCTTTAATTCGTCAATTAATCATGAACAGCACCTTGGAATCTCTGCCTTCTTTAGACTGTGATTGGTGCAGCCCTCTGTTTTATGTGTCTAGAAAATCCCAAACCTGTTGCAAAACACTCTTGCAACCTAGTTCTACTAGAATAGCACGGAATGGTACAGGCCAAGATTGAAGGATACTGAGAGATCTGTACTGAGGGAGTGAGAACTGGAATAAGCCCTGGAAATTGTGAGTGTACTTCAAGGTAATATTTTCCAAATTTTGCTGTTTTAGTAGCACTAAATGTATAAGTGCTTTGCCATTTTTATTGATATTCATTCACCAGTGTTGCCAGGATAATGTTTTCAGTACAGAAGTTGAGAAAGTATAGACACACTGCCTTTCCAGCTCTTTAAAATTCAGGCAGGAAAATCATTGACTAGTTTTCATCTCCTGTGTTCTTTTGATGCAGGAAAAGCTGTGTTTCTAGCCAGAGACAAACACCATCTGGCAGACCTGAGCCATCTAATTCGTCATGAAGCCCCTTATCTATTCCAAAAATATGTCCAGGAGTCTCATGGCAAAGATGTTCGTGTCATCGTGGTAGGAGGCCGTGTCGTGGGCACTATGCTGCGTTGCTCAACAGATGGTAGAATGCAGAGCAATTGCTCACTTGGTAAGAAAGAAAATGTGTTTGAATTTACTATATATGTTGAATTTTTAAATTCTAATTTAAGGCATACATTTTTATAGAGTGCTATCTTAAATGTAAAGATTACTTTGAAAGAAACAAATACAATAAACTTTGATTTAATGGACTAAAAGGGAAATCACTATCTAACCCTAAGTGTGCATATATAGTAAATAGCAATTTGAATTTTTCAAGTTCTAAAACATGCTTCTACATAGGAAAACTAATAACATCAAACGCCTCTGATGAGAACCATGGGTTATTATATGAACTGTCTCGTCAAACAACACATTTGTCTCTGTTATTTGAGACGCAGTCCTGAAAGTTGACCAAAACTCAGAACTAGCAGCCATTTATCCATTAAGTTTAAAGTCCACTAAATTAAATAATTGCTGTATAATATTTGTATTTGTATAGATTGCCTTTACATTTATATTATCTCTGCAGTTTCTTTTTGGATCATTCTCCCCATTATTTACTACAGTTGAGAAGTAGCAGGAGTAGATAGGCCACTTTATATGCTGAGGCAACATTATGCAATTTCACATGGTGTAACCACCAGAACCTTTTTTAATACCAACATTTCACAATATTAAATCAATCTCACCTCAAAATCTTACAAAAATTTTAACTTTCTCTGCCCCAATCATGAGCTTTTGTGTAAGCATACTGAAATCTCATGATACTTCTGCTATTTTTAATTTTAAAAACTGTTTTTTTTATATATTGGTTTGTGTGGGTAGTGCCTTAGTATCTGGGAGTGTCACACTACCATTGGACTAGTAATAGTTAGTCATTTCTTCTATCTGGAAATTGGCACTCTGAAATGACCCATATTCTGGATCAATTCTTCTCTTTGTGGGCCTTGTTTCCAAAGTTAATACTGTTCCATTGGTTTTGATGTTTTATATTCTTATTTTATTTCATTCAGTCCTTCCGTTATATATTCAAGATGAATAGTCTTTAATATTTATGTGTTATGTATATGTAGGGGTCTGGGTCTATATAGATGTTGTATATAGTATGTTTAGGTGTGTGTCATGTATGTGTTTCACTTTGGGAGCAGGCAGCTAAGTTTCATTTTTAATTTTTTTATAAAAAAATTTTATTTTCAATTTTGCAATACAATACAATCTTAAAAATACTTCAGATAAGAAAAAAAAACAAATTAATACACACCATTTTCGGTATTGCTCACCCATTTCCCCCCAAACCACATCCACCCCTAACCAACTTGCCTCTTTCCCTCTTCTTTCTCTTCCTCCCTCATCTCCTCTCCACCTTCCTACTTACTTCTCACTTTCTTCTATCCTCTCACTCCGGATGCGGTCTGGGGGAAATGCCCGAGCAATTCCTCTCTCCAAATTGAAATCTCAATATATATACAATAAAAACTATTTCTACTTATCTGAACTACTAAAATTCCAACCCATCCTTCCCCCTCCCCCCCTGACTTCCCAGAGCTAAGTACAGGGTCATACAAATATACTAAACATAATCTAATTAAGTTTACTAATTATACAAAAACCAAAATCATACTAACCCTTAATTCTCTTCAAACTTTAACATCATAAGTTTAAACAAATTCATTACTCATAAAATAAATGAAACTAGTTCCATATTTCTTCTGAAAATATTCTATCCATCTTCTCCATACATTGAAATATCTCTCTTGTGAATGGTCCTTTAAATAAGCAGAAATTTTAGCCATTTCTGCTAAGTTAGAAACCTTAAGTACCCATTCTTCTAAAGAAGGCAGAGTATCCTTCTTCCAATATTGACCCACCAATAACCTTGCTGCTCTTATTAAATTCAACATTAAAATAGTTTCTTTAACATCAAAATCCACAAAAATACCCCAAAGAAATAACTGGGGAGTAAACTTAATCTTCCTTTTAAAAACCTTTTGAATGTTCCACCAAATCATAATCCAGAAGGCTTTAATATTTTTACAAGTCCACCAAACATGAAAATAGGTTGCATCCAAGCAACCGCATCTCCAACATTTAGGTTGCACATTCGGGTACATACAAGACAACTTTTTAGGATCCAGATGCCATCTATAAAACATTTTATAAAAATTTTCCCTCAAATTTTGAGCTTGCGTAAATTTAACATTTCTAATTCAAATTACCTTCCATAAGTCCAATGAAATCGGTTCCTGAATGTTCTGGGCCCATTTAATCATACAATCTTTTACCAACTCTGTTTCCGAATCCAATTTTATTAACTCATTATAAATTCTTTTAATGTGGGCATGTTTCTCATCCTTAATCTGAGTTACCAAATTTTCATCTACTAAAGTAATTCCCACTTTCTTATCTAAAGTCCATCTCTCCACTATTTGCAAATATTGAAACCATGATTGTAAAATATTTTCTTGCCTTAGCACATCTGAAGACTTTAGTTGCCAGTCAGTACCTGACCAAATAAGTAACTCTTTATACGAAATATTATCAAACTTCACCCCCTTAGAAACTCCCTGAATTGCTTGTCCAGGAATTCCCCAAATAGGTATTTTATAATTTAACTTAAGCTAAATTTCATTTTTGATGTGTGCCGTTGTGCCCACAGTAAAAAAAATGACAATAAAGATTATTTATCTTATCTTTATTTCATCTCTGAGATGAGAGTGGGGAGCAAATGCACTGTCAAACACAGGTAAGCCTAACTGTATAATTGTGAATTACTTAAATAAATGGTATGACTAAAAATAAGATGTAGATAAATAAAGAAGATACATCAGCCTCTATTGGTCATCAGAGTTTTTCTAGAACACATTTAGTTTTAACACTAGCAATTAGATTCCTTTTTTATTTAAAATGGAAAATCCTCACAAAATTTCTTAAAAGTTAGCATCAATACTATAATAAGCATTAAGATCTCACAACACTCTCTGTAGCTCATGTAGGTTTATTGATTGAGAATTTGAATTGGAATACTATTGTACCCTGATTTAGCTTTCTGTTACCAGGTGGTATAGGTATGATGTGCTCGCTCAGTGAACAAGGGAAACAACTGGCGGTCCAAGTTTCTAACATCTTGGGGATGGATATCTGTGGCATCGACCTCCTTATGAAGGATGATGGCTCGTTCTGCGTCTGTGAGGCCAATGCAAATGTAGGTTTCATTGCCTTTGACAAGGCTTGCAATCTAGATGTAGCTGGTATCATAGCGGACTATGCCGCTTCACTGCTTCCTCCCGGTCGCTTGACACGACGCATGTCCTTGCTCTCTGTGGTATCCACAGCTAGCGAGACTAGCGAGCCAGAGCTGGGACCTCCAGCTAGTGCCACTGTCGACAATATGAGTGCTAGCTCCAGCTCTGTCGACAGCGACCCTGAAACCACAGAGAGAGAGTTGCTCACCAAGCTGCCGGGGGGGATATTCAATATGAACCAGCTAATAGCCAATGAGATTAAGCTCCTAGTGGAGTAATGCCACATGTAAATAACTATGACCAACTTTCTTGTAAATTTTTTTAAAATACAACCAACTTGTAGTACTGTTTATTGGAAGCAGCTTATGGAGGTGAGGTGAGGGTTTTAACTTGGGGAATCAGAATCAAAACATGCATGTTCTATGAATGCTGCTTTTGTTACCTATTAATCTTACAGAACATATGTTTAGTTGTTATTTTTAACAACTATTTTTCATTTGATAATATTCTGTTTAAAGTCTGCATTGGGAAATGGGAGAAAAAAACTCGATAAAACTTCTGTTTTTGATAGGGATGCCATTATGATCTTTGAACTCATATGAAAATGTTTCATCTTGATTTATGATATTTGCAACTGGAAAGGTTGATGCTACAAAAGCACCCATGAATTAATACTTTGCCAACCATCCCCTCACCTCATTGGAGCTCATTCTTGTTATTATATGCCATTTGCTTTATGTCCTATAGGAGTGGAGAGAAATTAGAACAGCCATTTTTTTATTTCGTTCAAAGGTTCTAAATATCAGCATTTCTATTATCAATAAGATCTGTAAAATTGTATCCTGACAAACAGTCCACAATGGCCTATGAAATTCCAGACTTTAAGCAGTTTTACAGGGTGCAACTTTGATTAGTTCAACACGAGCTTTTGAAATAAACCTGCAACTTCTGCCATTTCTGTATTAACAGATGTCCGCATGCTTAGATTTAAAACCAAATTCACTTTCCTTGGGAGAAAAAAATTACTATGTATCTGGATTTTAAAAATAATCTTAAAACCTAGCTTCAGGTCAGGAAAGGGAGAAACTGTGTAAAATTCAGTTTGGGCTATTGGCAGAAGTGGCATGTTTTCTTTTGCACAAGAACTGAGATAAACAGCACTGTTAACTTTTGGTGTACAAAATAATGTTTAATCCAATATGAAAAAGAATAACACTAGTTTAAAACAAATGTGCATTGACTTGTATTTGTTAGTGTTTTAGTCCTTTTTGCAAGATATATACTGTGTTACTGTTTCATTTTTAATACATGCTCGTCCAACACTTCTTTCTCCATGCCTATATCTTTAACAGGGGCCCAATTTGAAAAATACCTGTACTACTCAACATCACCACTAATAGTAACAAACTTATACAAAAAAATCTGATACCTAGAAAATATGGGAGGGGTGTGGAGGAGGGTTGAAATGGTTGCAAATTTCAAAACTATATTTTGTAAATTTAATGCATCACTATTATTGATAGTAGCTTTCCTTTATAGAAGGCATTAAAATCTAAAGTGGCCTGATTTACCAAGGATAAATGCTGAAAGAAACAAGAAGGTTTTGGTTTTGGTTTTGGGAAACACTTTGCCAGTAAGGCCCAGCCAGAATGGGAATATGATTTAACACCACCAGTGTGTGGATCTCAGTCCCCTTTGTATGTGTCTGTATTTTGCTTTGTTTTTGTCAATAATTTTTGTCTGTCCAGTTCGTCAGTCTTTTTTCCAGAATGCCTGATGATCTCCTCTCCCAGTCCATCCCTGATACTTCTGGCTGTGCATTTTCTTATTAAATTTGGTAAAAGAACCAAAACAACAGCTTTTGGTCTGTTTTAATGGCCTCATTTTCCTCCTCCTCACCCATTTCTCACTCATTTATTTACTTTGGAGTTTATACCGTATTAAAATTATAGAAAAATGTAAATAAAATTCTGTTACTTTAAAAATAGCCATCCACAACACGACACAGTATAATGTTTGTAACAGCAAGTTGGCTTATGAAAGGGTTTTGGAGGGTGGGCAGCTTCTGTGTGCAGGGTGGTTTTGTCTCAGTGCTTCAGAATAGCAATTTACCCTCCAGAGCTCTGAGCTTCATTCCACTGGCCAACTTCACCACTCAGCTGTCTTAACTTTCACTTGGGTATTAAACACCACTTGTGAACACTTTACAGAGACACTAAGAATAAATAGAAAAGTGTTAGGCTGCTTTCATGAAGGTTGATCATGCCTATTTGTACAGTTTTTTAAAATGCAATAATGATATTTTTGTAGAATTAAATGTTATTGTTAAAAGCAAAATAGAAGGATGATTGTTGGCATTAGCTGAAGAAGCAAAAGCAATATTTTAGAGTGTGTAGGTTGAAGAAAAATACAAAAGTTTCCATTTAAAAAAAAACAAAGAAAAAGAAAACCTCCAAGTAGCTTTCTTTCCTTTTGCTTTGTCGCCTTTCACCCCTTTGTTAACTAGATGTGTGCCTTCTAAAATACAGGATTCTTTAAAGGATTGCACATCTTTCAGAAACATGAGCAAAGAATTAACCTTAACTGGCAGAAAAATGTTGCAACATTCACAAGAAACAAAGTTGACTCCAGAAGAAGCTTGACAACTCTGATACTTCTGATTTGGGTTATCTGAGTTTCTCCACTGTTTGAGGAAAACAGTTTGTGACAAATGTTTTCCACATGAAACTTTTTCAAAGTATATAGACCCAATTTACACCACTATAAATGCAATGGAATGTCACATAAAATTTGTTCTGAATCGTACACAATGAGCACATTAAGGGATTTTATATTTTGGTTTATCTGTTTGCCATGTGATGGCCATGTGTGTGTTGTGGTTATATTGGAAAGATGGAAAAGAGACTGAATAACGTTTGGTTAAAGAAAAGTCTCACACATTGTTGAAATAGAACCTAGCATTGCATGTTAAAATCACTTAAGAAATTCTATGCTTGAAAAAAATGGGTTGATACATTCCCTCCTTACGTAATGTAACTTTAAAAAAAATGTTGTAGAAGAAGTTTTAAAAATATTACTATTGGTAAAGAAAATGAATTGAGTTTCTAATAACTAGGGTTTAAGTTCTGTAGAGAGTACTGCTACACATCACACTTCCCAGGAAAAAAAATATTGACAAGTATATTAAGAGTACCAACATTACTTATCATAATTTGAAATTAACAACTAGGAAAACAGAATTGAACAACTGGGAAAATAGAAGCTGTAGTGAATTTCAGCACAGTCAGTGATTACATATAGCACTCAAATGGAACCAGATTTGGGGGTTGGATGGTAATGATGGAGTTCGATGGTGTACTGTGTGTTTTGTTTGTGCTTTTATTTTACAGATGCTATGTTTATACTTTTTTTACTGTATAGAATTACAGGTTGTATTTGTAGCTTTGTATCTTCTCAGATTTTATATTGTTGATAAAACTTTCATTCTGGAACACTTTGGTAGAGCATTAATAACAGATGTTGGGAGGACAGCATATTTGTGGACTACTTTTGTTGTTGTTGTGTTCCACCAAACTTTCAACTTGTCGGATCAAACAACATTGACTTTGTTCAGCAATTTATCATAGAAGATATGTCAAGAAAAATGCTTTGAACCTGTGAAGTTTGGAAAAAAAATAAAAAGACAGTTTTAGAAGTGCTGCATTGGACATGTATGAGACTTGATGAATACTATTTTAAACTTCACATCTTCCCATTTAATAAAAGCAGAGCTCAAGTTGGTTAAATGTATAAGGGTTTAAACTATGTAAGATGTATCAACATGTACAATTCTTTCTCATGGCTCACTCTTTTTGAGAAGGTTTATGAGCTATTTGGCTGGTGTGAGACTCACGACCCACTCCTGTTCTCTCTATGGAATTGTAGGTGCTCAGACAGGTAACCTCTGCTGCTACTGTCTCTTTCATTTTTAATTTTTCACTGTTCTAGGAATTTGTAAAATATTATAGAATTTATGACAAAAGGTTATCTTTTTGCTTTCTTTTTCTTTTTTTAATATATATTTGAGTGTATTGATATTGGAGGGTGAATTTTGGGATGTTCTGATGGTGGCTTGGGCCATCGTTGGAAATTTCTGTATTCCTCAAGTTACAGTTTTCAGTTGAATGTCTTTTATTTGTTTAATGCATTGTCAATAACTTGATGTTTTGGGGTGGGAATTTGTAACACTTAAGGAACCACTGTGTAATACATATTCTTTTTTTCTGAAAGTTCTAACAATTCACACTTTCTTACTGTTCTTTGCAAAACTTTTCAGGAGCCAAAAAAGTCAAACAATCCAGAGAAAAACTTCCCTTCTCCCCTTTCTGGTGACAAGAGAGAGAGAGAGAGAGAGAGAGAGCGCTTGTGAAAATCCTTGAGAATGTTCCTCCCTAAACTTCCCCCCCCTGTGGTAAAACAATAAACGCAGAAGCCTGGTGGCATCCAATACCGACCCCTTGGCAGGTAACTTTCAGCTCTTGATCATCCCATATTAGCTAACGCTACTTTTCTTTCTTCTCTCCCTCAATCATAATATGATTACATAATATAATATGTAAAAGATTAATTGTTTTGAAGCAAATGGTATTTCTTTTCTTGTTTTTCATTTTGTATATATTTAGCAGAATTAAACTTTAAAGCTTGTTGTGATCCATGTGTTCAAGTAGGATCATAGCAAGACAAATTTAAGCAGTGTACAGTGACAGAAAGAAGGGATGGGATGGGATGTAACTCCTCAGATTCTGCCATCTCGATCTTCCCATGTATCTATCTCTTCTTGCTGCCCCTTCCCCCAATATACATTCTTGGCTTAAGTTTTACAGGGCTTTGATTCTTTCCAGGGGCACAGTCAGCACAAAACTAATCAGCATCAATTAACAGGTACGAAAATAGGAGTAAAAAGTTTATATAATTTTCTATTTCTTATAGCAGGGCTTGGATGGAGGCATTGTGTACTTGTGAAAAGTCAGAGGTTTTATTTCTGGAATTTTCCATATGGGTTGCTCAGTATACTGCTATTTATTGGTAATAATAACAATCTGAATAACTTCTTAATATTTTATATTTGATTTAATATCCAAATTTCTGCATAAACATACAACAGCAATGACATAACCAGTGGAAGAAATAATTGCTAATATGAAAGAATAAAATGTTTCAGATGAACACTCCCCCAAATGATTTTGCATGTGAGCTCACACGTCTTATTACAAGAAAAATGTTTTCTTTTGTCAGTTTAATTTTATAGATATATGCTTTGAAATTTAAAAGAGCCAATATATTCAGCTAAAATAGATTAAAATAGATGAAAAGTAGTATTTTTATGTGGAAGATTTGATAGATACTGTTACACTACTATTTCTCTAGCTTCTATTTTTCACAAATACTTAATCTCTCCCTGACATAGCTAACTTTTTTGCAAATTTATTTGGAACAAAAAATGGCTACTCTGCAAAACTCTTATCAAATTGTCTTCCCTTTTTATTTTTGACCCAGAGGCATTGCAAAAGGGAGAAATACTAGATTAAAATTGGCTGTTGAACAGACTTTTTTGTCCTTCTCTTGCCAATTTTTAGGCTTTTTGACACAATCTGAATCCTACTTTCCTACTTGAAAAAGCTAAACAAGAGAATTGTAAATTGTTCCTTATCATTGTCAAAGCCCATGCAAATTAGCGGTTGCTGAATTGGTGGAGAAGAGGAAAAGTGATATCAAAATAATAGGAGCCTGTGTATGCTGTTCAACAAAATTAAATTTTCACTTTGCTTGCACTAAAAGGGCAATCCAATGAGGCAGATATTTGACACTGCCCAGAGTTCCAGCTTTCAGGAAATGCTATTTTACTTTTTAATGTTCTATGTGAATTAAGTTTGTGAATTGTAGAGTTTGGTTAGAAATATACTTGAAAAAAGAAATAGGGTACTATGAAAGAGGAAAATAATAACTAGGTATGCTTAATGCAACAGAAAATCGTTTGTGTTGAAATGTGATGGTAACATAACAGAAGCATCTGGTAGCATTTGTATTTTTAATCTGCCATGTAATAGCTCCATCTGTAAGGATATCTTCCAAAATTTATTATCTTGGTCTTCTGTCCAATATTTTTCTAAAGGAGATGGGAGGTATGGGAAGAAAGGTTGTAGTGAACTTCATGCCTTTAAAGGATCCCCATTGTATGATTTTTCTGTGAGCTGAACAAGAACTTCTTCTATATGCCCTTGTGCTGCAACAGAATAATAAAACTGGTAGGTGGCAGCAGAAGAAGGAGCTTATACAGATGGCACCCGAGAACAGAGAATGCTGCCATGTGGGGAGAGATGGATTCCAAAATATTAGCTGATGTAACGTGCAAAGATGAGAGACAGCTTCCTTGACTTGTTACTCTGCATGGTGAGTCTGACCCTTGATCAGTTCTTATTCACCATAACGGATATGTTAAATCCACATTTCTGTTTAATCTGGAATACTGACTAAGGGAGCTGGCAAATTTAGGTATTTCTCTTGATTTCTTTATCACTTCCTTAAAAAGAATTGTAAGCCATTATTCTCAACTTTTTTCCTTTAACAACTACATCCTTATGTTAACTATACAAAAGTGATGTTGGAGATGAATTATCACTTTCTTCTATCCTGCATTGATGATTCTATTCATGCGCATAGAAATGAAATTGTCACTAAGGATGGGAAATATGTTTACAGCGTGAATAGGATGAGAATGAAGCAATTTCTTAGGAACACTTATCTCCATAAGACTATTTGCCCAGAGGAAATATGCTGTGTGAAACAGAAAACTAGGAATAGAATTCATTAAGAAGAAAATTTCAGCATCTAAATAAATCACAAACAAAAATGTGTGCTCTAAAAAGATCAAAATTAATTTCCTTTGGCTCTAATATTTTCTTTATTAGTCTTTTCAAAATCATGCTTTGAACCTCCCAATTTTTGAAGCTTATTAGAAATTAGTTGTAGCACTGCAAAATTGTGAATCAGAAAATTTCTTTTAGCTGTTGTTAATAGTGTAAGAGGCATATCATGCTTAATCTCAGAGTTGTGTATTAAGCACAGTGTAAATCATTCAGTATCTTATAATTTGAAGAACTTTCTGTGACAATAACAATAATTTCCTCACAGGTGAATTACTGTGATAATTGTAAGAATCTATGTAGTACTTTCATTTCTAGGAAAGTTGTCCTAGGAGGAGCAATTTATTTGTGGTGCCATATATGTGAATGTGGTATGCAATTTGACAAAGTTATCTCAAGGATTTTATCATATGCAAAAGAGGAATGTAAAGGAAAGAGGAAGGAAGGGAGTGAAGGAAAGAGAAAGAAAAGAAAGAAAGAAAAGAAAAAATCACAAAGGAATATAAGTGGTTTGCATTATTCAATATTGTATTAAAAGCTACATTAGTAGCATTTAAGTAGCCGTTTCCTACTCTTTAAATGTCTTAGGCACATTACTCTACAATATCTTCATAAAAGATTTAGATGAGGGAATAGAAGGTGAACTCATCAAATTTGCAGACAACACTAAGCTGGCAGGAATAGCCAACACCCCAGAAGATAGGCTCAAGATCCAGAAAGATCTCAACTGACTTGAACCCTAGGCCCTATCTAACAAAATGAAATTCAATGATGAGAAAAGTAAGGTTTTACCCTTAGGCAAGAAAAATCAAATATACAAATTAAGTGAAAATTGGCTCAATAGCAGTAGCTGCAAGAGGGTTCTTGAAGTCTTAGTGAACAATCACTTAAATATGAGCCAGCAATGTGCAATCCTAGACTGCATTAACAGAGGAATAGAATCAAGATCACGTGAAGTGTTAATACCACTTTATAAGGCAGGGATCTTCAAACGTGGCCCTTTTATGACTTGTGAACTTCAACTCTAGTTTTGGTTATAACAATACAAAAAAGATGACTAGGGAACTGAGGTAAAACAAATGAAGAACGAGGTCTGTGACAACTCGCCACGGCCAACTTTCTGTGGTCAACTTGCCACGAGACAGCTTGCCATCACCAACCCGCCATGGGACAATTTGCCGCAGAACAAGAGTTACACTAATATTGAATAAATAGTGGAATAGAACCATTAAAGAAAGAATGCCAAAGGAGGGACAAAATGAAATGTGAATGACAAAAATTAAAATAATGTTTTAATAATTTTAAATAATTAAATGTTCTCCGTAGACATTCTCAACAGAGGGCAGGATTGGCTGTATTTTTCATGCCAAACCATGCAAGCTTATATCGTTAGCTCTGTAGAGGTTGGGAATAATCTGGTCTTGTATTTTATTGCCCATTCAATATCCTGTTGTGGAACAACAGACAGATATGCTAAATAGGTGTGTTGTTATGATCTGATTTTGAGGATGGATTTGTCCAAAACTGAATCCAATCCTGCTCTTTCAGCTCTGTAGCATGGCATTTGATATAAACACTTGAAAGATTTCTTGGTTGCTATAGTGCATGATTTGGTTCTTGGTTGCTATGATGCATGATTTGCCAACTCTCTGCAGTCAACTCACCACGAGACAACTTGCCATGGGACACGATCAACCTACCATGGGACAATTCGATGCGGAACAAGAGCTACACTAATATTGAATAAATAATGACATAGAATCATTAAAGAAAGAATGCCAAAGGAGGGACAAAATGAAATGTGAATGACAAAAATTAAAATATTTTTAAAATTATTTTAAATAATTAAATTGAATTGTTGAATTGTCCCACAGTGTCCCATGGCGAATTGGCCATGGCAAGTTGTCCCGTGGTGAATTGGCCATGGTGAGTTGGCCGCAGCAAGTTGTCCCATTCTTTGAAGAATGGTTGCAGAAATTGGGTATGTCTAGTTTAGTGAAAAGAAGGACTAGGGTGATATTTTAACAGTGTTCCAATATTTGAGAGATTGCAACAAAGAAGAGTGGGTCCACTTATTTTCCACAGCCCCAGAAAGCAAGACAAGAAGCAATGGTTGGAATTTAACCAAGGAGAGAAGCAATCTAGAATTAAGAAATTTCCTGACAGTGAGAACAATCAACCAGTGGAACGGCTTGCCTTCAGAAGTTGTGGGTGCTCCATCACTGGAGCCTTTTAAAAAGAGACTGGACAGCTATTTGTCTGAAATGATATAGGATTTCCTGCTTGAGCAAAACCTTGGACTAGAAGACCACCAGAGTCCCTTCCAATTTTGTTAATGTTTTTTGCATATCTGGTTTGTATTTCACTAAAATTCCTGCTGTATCTCTGATAAGTGTGATATGATACATAATTCTAATACTAGTCTGTTTCATTGTAAGGAAAAAGATATATATATAAATTATAAATATTCTTATATTCCATTTTGTTTTTTTTTTTCCTTTTTATAAAATACACCCCAAAATATACAGTGTTTCTTTGAGAATAAAAGCAAATAATAATGCTAATTGGCTAATGATAAATAAAGCACTACAGCTTGTGATGGAATGGCAAAACAACTGTTAAAACTTAAGTGAAAAAAAATAACAAGATAGGTTTAACCAGACATAAACTAGAGTTACACCTTTTTGATAGCATCAGATCCACTCAGAACTTTTTCGCTAATTTGGTGTTTGTTCTGCAGTCTCATTTCCCACCTGGTCAGGTATCATATTTTAAAAATATAGTTGATCTCTATAAAAGCATTTTTAAATTAGTGTAATTGCTGCACAAGAGCAACTTCATGGGAAAGAGTTATCGATGGGAAGGCAAGGATTGACCTCACTTTGCCTTCCATGCTACAGTTTTCCCCTTGCAAATGCTTACATGGTAAAAAGATTTTGAAAATGTTTCATTGGTACTTTATCCTCTTCCCTCAGACATACCAAAAGTTAACAGGAACAATGACAGCATGTGCCAGCTGTCTCCACTTCTCCACTGATATGTAGCCTTGGACAACACTAGTCTGAGTAAATGTGCCCTGAAAAAGGTGATTTCCCAGTTATACTCTGATAGGTCACAAGGTGATAATAATGAATCCACAGTCATCCATTGAAGCAGCTCTTTTTTGGTCACAATGCCTACCCTCAGGAATACTGTACCTACAAGATGAGATTTCAAAGCACTGAAGATCTAGATGGGCTCCAGGGTATGGGGTTGGGAGGTTGAACGGACCATGAGATGTTATTTTTGAATGTTTATTAGAATTATTGTAGAATCCATTGTAGGCTGTTAAGCTTCTATTGATATTGGATTTTGTATTTTTGATATATTGTTAATTACCCAGAGTCACATCTGCAAGATGGGCAGATATATAAATCAATATATATTAAATGTATTTTAATATTTCCCATATGTCCTATACTGAAACTTGCATCCAAGTCAAATGTTGCAAGTTTGTTTGAAGTGTTTGAATTCCTCAGGTGTCAGTTCTTGTATCTTGACCATGTTGATTGGGTTTCGGGAGAAATATTTCCTGCTATTTTAAGTGTTTAATTTTACATCACCTAGTTACCGTGTTTCCCCCAAAATAAGACCCATCCAGATTGCCTGATTTTTTTGGGGTGGGCATAATATAAGCCCTACCCCAAAAATAAGCCCAGGGGGGTGGGCATGGCCAGCACAAAAGGCGGCAAGTTTGTAGGGGCTAATGGTGTCCAGCAGCAGCAGCAGCCCGCTGGCCCCTTGGTGCAACACAGGTAAGTCCAAGCGTGGAGGCAGAGGCGAGGGAAGGCAGGCGATCTGGACGTGCCTGGTTCACGGGAGGCTTGTGCGGTGGCACTGGCAGCCAGGCAGAGGCAGAGGCATGGAAGAGGCAGGTGATCCTATTGGGCTGTGCAGCCACCTGCCCTGGCGTGGCTGCAAGGAAGTCAAGAGACAATGGGATGGAGTAGGTGGCGCATCGGGATCATCTGCGTCCCCCTCCCCGGTGCCTTTACCTGCTGTCAGTGCTGCCGCACGAGCCTCCCGTGAGCCAGGCAACAGCACAGCATGTCTGGATAGCCTGCCTCCGCTCCGCCCCGCCCCTCTTGCCTCTGCCTCCGCTATGTACTTTTCGCTCAGAGGCAGACTGGAAGCTTTGTCTGCTTGCAAATGGGGCACTTGGAAACAAAGCGATTTGCACCCTTTCCAAGTGCCCCATTTGCAAGCAGATGAAGCTTCCAGTCTCTATCTGGGCAAAAAGTGTTTGTGCACCTATGGGGCACTTGGAAATTTGCTCCGTTTCCAAGCGCCCCATAGGCGCCCAAACACTTTTTGCCTGGACAGAGAACTGACAGAGACTGGAAGCTTCATCTCCTTGCAAAAGGAAAGAGTGTGGCAGCTGGAGGGAGGCGGAGGGGAGGCTTGCATCACCTGATCCTTCGGCTTTCCCCGCCTATCCACACCGCTCTCTTCACCTGAAGGCGTGTTCCACCGGCACTGCCCTCACCTCCTGAGCATCTGCTCTGGGAAACTGTAAGCCGTTGCAGCCATGGGTAAGCAGATGGAGGCAGTGGGCGGAAAGTCAGACATCCCCCGAAAATAATCTCTAATGGGTCTTTTGGTCCAAATTATTATTATTATTATCATCATCATCATCTTTATCATTATCATCATTATTCAAACAGACAAGCACCTGCAACATAAAACCCCGGACTTAACAATTGTTGATAAGAAAGACAAAAAAGTCTGGATAGTGGACGTGGCAGTGCCTGGAGACAGAAGAATAGATGAGAAAGAACTGGAGAAGATAACAAAATACAAAAACCTACAAATGGAAATAAAAAGACTGTGGCAAAAGCAAGCAAAGGTAGTACCAATAGTAATAGGCACCTTGGGTACAATCCCAAAACAACTAGAGCACCACTTGAACACCATTGGCATTGACAAATTTGCCATTAGTCAATTGCAAAAGGCAGCCTTACTAGAAACTGCTTCCATCCTGCGACGATATCTGTAATACCATCAAACATCCACATCTGCCTATCCCAAGTCCTTGGTAAGGACTCGATAGGAAGACAAAATGCCAAATCCAGTCTGAACATCTGGCTGACTACGCGATGATGATGATGATGATGATGATGATGATGATGATACTAATAATAATACCTGGTCTTATTTTTGGGGAAACATGGTAATATTTTGCAGAAAAACAACTTTCTTGATCTGGGAGACTTGAGTACCTCATTTAGAGTGGAGGAATTTGCAGTTCCTTGAAGGAGGCAACAGATAGATCCTTGTCTATAGATCAAAGAGTTCCTTTTGGGGGTGTGGGGGGGGGGAAACCGCTGAACAGGCTGTGGCAGTAGAAATGCATGGATGAGACAGTTTAGAATCTAACTAGTGAATTATGTAGATTCTAGTAATGGTTTGG